ACAATTGCATGCCTTTTCTGTGTTTCTATATAATTTATTTATTTATTTTAATCTTGGTCATAACTGCAATCTGTTGGAAAATGGCTCATTTACAAAGTAACATTGTTTTGTATTTTTATTTGAGTTTCATTACAAATATGGTAGCTGTGTGTTATATGACATGTTTTACTTAATCGTTTATGTAAAGTATTCTTCACAGGAGGTTTTTTTTTTAAATTATTTTTTTAACTATATATAGTTTTTTAGTACACCAAGTTAAAGTAAATGAAAATGAGAACTGTTGTTTAACTAGATAAACAAAAGAAGTTTAAGGTTTATAAAATGTTTTATTTCCATGTTAATGTTTATTTTATTTCAAACTGCAATTTTTATGGTTTTAGTTAACTAGAATAATCTTGCGGGGGCAACACGATTAATTTTATTGTTTAAAATAAGTTATGTTAAAGTTATTTAAATTAAAAATAATAAATTTATGTTAAAATGTGTCATTTGAAATGCTAAAGCCAATATTTAACACACGTAAAATTAAATATATATATATATATATATATATATATATAAAATCGATTTTTTTTTTATTTTACACCGTAAACAATCGTTTACGTAAATTAAAAGATTTGATTTAGAACCGACCACTCCGAGTAAAACGCAGTTATTTGTATCGCTCTCGAACTCAAATATAAAAGTAGTGTTGATGGTGAGGGGAGTGTTCTAGAGCGGGAGGCGCGCGCTGCTTCTCTCAGGATCTCACTCAGAGTCACGCTCAACACTTCCAACGGAAAGCGCGTCAGCCGTTTGCTAAACTTTACTCTTCGAGATTAAATATTATATTTCTGACTTCCTACTATAACTTTACCTCATATCAGGTAATTGACGTTTTATTCCGTTTTTATATACATATTCATGAAGTAATGTCCTGCAAAGTTGAACTTTCGTTGAAAGTGTTTACTACTGCTAAAAGAATACCTTTTAGGGTTTTTTTTTCCAATAAAAAGTTTCACTTGTGTCACTGTTAATGAGTATTTTGTCTCTTAGGATGAATCTGTTGAAAATTATTTGCTCCAGCGTTATTGTAAGTAATCAATAATACAATATACGTTTAAATATTATGTGGCAAAATGCTAAGTCTTCCTTATATGAATACTTATGTTAATATCGTTAAAATAAATATAACGAATACCTATTTGTATTGAACCAATATTATTTTTTATGTAATTATAAACATTCCCCCCCCCCAAGGTCCTCATTCATCACTGCATGGAAAAAGGTAATCAGAGCATTCATAGTGTAATTGTTTAACATGCTTAAAATTCAGATCAAATCATGCAGGACTGTTTTATGGTCCTCTCACTATTATATAAAACATGTTAATATGAAAGACACCATCTGTAACTAAAACAATCCAAAGGAAAGTTTGAAAACACATGTACAATTTGTTAACACCGAAAGTGCCAAATGCATAAGATGTTTGTGTTTGTCAACTAAAATACCCCTGTGTTTACAGTGGAGAGCAGAACCCTGCTTACACATGATGACTATTACCCTGAGTATGTGCCAGATCGTCAGCCATGGGACGTTGCCCGCAGCCTCTGCCTCCAGCGTTCAGGGTCCTTTGTGATGGTGTCCAGTACTGAAGAGATTCAAAAGCTGAACAGTTTTCTGCGATCCCTAAATATCACCCTACCCGTATGGATAGAAAGTGCAGGCATGTTTCAAAAAACTGGTGAGCACCATATCCCACATTTCCCAGCACGCCTCATATTTGCTACATTGGCAATATTGTTCTTTAGTAAACATTACAGGTTGTTTTCCAGGTCCTCCAGACATATACATGCTGGAATTTCCAATGCGTCCGCACCGGAAATCAGCTCGCCTACGCCACAAGTTCCCTAACATGGAAGCGCTTACGGTTTGCGCTCACCTCCAGCTTGATCCCACTTGCCAAGGACTTTCCACAGTCTTCTCATACGCCATTCAGTCGTTCATTAAAGAATTCCAACTCCAAGCACAAATCACCGGGAACGAACCGGTCCACCTTGCATTGCTGGTGCATGGTTCAAACACCTCCTACATAACTGGCTTTCCCAACGATGCTTCCTGGCACTTTGTATGCGCGAGTTGGGACGGGAATACCGGGAAGTGGGTCATCTGGGTGGATGGAGCGGTTGTGGGTTCTGGGAATTCCCTCAACTCAACCAGTCACATCGGAGGCGATGGCCTTTTCATGATTGGACAAGACCAGGAGACCTACGGGGGCTACAATAACGGCAAGGCGCTTTGTGGGAACGTTACGCAGCTGTACATGTGGGATCGTTTCTTGGTCAAATCTGAAATCCAAAGCATGGGAAAACTTTGCTCAGCCGTCCCTTTTGGTTTGTTCTTCAAGTGGAATGAGTCTGCGCTGGAAATAGAGACGTCCTTGCAGACACGTAGAGGGAACTCGCCATGTCAAGGTAGAGTCGCCATGTCACCCTCACATCTTTGCATAATAATTTCCACTCTCCCACCATGCGAATACAGCCAAGTTTTGATTGATAACAACAGGCTGAGATGGTTGTAAATATTTCATCCATGCGGTAATGCTGAGACCCACCCTTTAGAATATACTCTTCACTTCACATGAGTAATGGACCCTTATTCTTTTCTGAAGAGAGGAAACATGGTCTTTACAGACTTGGAGAGCTCAAGAACTATGACTCACGATGATGACATCTTAAAATTGGCAGACTAGAAACAAACTTGGGTTGCTGGCTGTTCGGTGGCCCCAGACAGATGAATTTTCTCAAAAAAGATCAATTTTCTGCTAAACTAGTTTTTGTTCTTGATTCTTATAGGTTCCAAAATCCAACCACAAGACCAGCTGGTCATCTCTGGGTTGGATCCAAGTCTGCATCACAATCTTTCCATCAATTTTGACAAATCCTGTGTAGCCTTTGACCCTGCAAGTGGAAAACCCGTTAATAGCTTATGTACTACTCAAAGAGGAAGTGTTTGCCTGTTCCCAAAAGGTGATCACCTGCTTTATGACATTCTGAAGCTCTAGACCCAATGTAACACAAGTAGTGACATATCTTTTATTCTGTGAAATAGATTATTGAAAAATAAAAAAATGTAGGGTGGGACTTAGTTCTATCCATTAGTTATTGATTGAATGAAGAAAAGTCTGTTCCACTTGGATATTATGAAAGTTAATTAAAAAGAAACATATGTGTGAATAATACGCTCAGTAACATGCGTTTACAAAATATAAAATATATCGTTTTCACCTTTAAAGGTTTGATAAGGACATTTTAGCATTCCAAACCACAACTTAGTGAGTTGCAAATTATTTTACGAAAATAACAACCTGATGTTCGATCAATGGAAAAATGAGCCTTATGAACCTGTTCTTTTTATTGAGGCCATCAAAAAGATTTGTGAAATTGTGAATAGTTTATGACCGAGTTCACAATACTGATGACTACAAGTTGCACTGCAAGTAATTTTTCAGTTACCCGGGAACCGTTATTGTGGTGTATACATTTAGTTTGTGAGACTGACATTTATTTATTCACTGTTTGTTCATATGAAAATGTGTAAGTAAAGAGTCATATTCAATATATATTGTGTTTTAGGACAGCGGTTCCCAACCTGCAGATATACTTTGAGGTAGGGCTGGGCGATGAAACGATAACTATAATTATAGTGATATAATTTTCCTCGATAAAACAAGTTGGATAAATATTCGATTCAATGGTTATGAGCCAAAAGCAGAACAAAACAGTGCTACTCATTTGAACCGTGTCACACGGTCCATTTACCAGCGTAGAGCGAGGCTGACTAGAGCAGATGTGCTTACTCACTGATCACGCAACCACTAAACAGCACTGTGAGATCCAGTGTGAAGCGCTTGAATTCAGTGAAGAACACACATGACTGATATAAACTAGTATCAGTCAACTGATAGAAACTATCCAAATGAAACGGCGCTGACAAACAGCAGAAAAACTGCAACGATACAGTCAGAAGGCTTTTCAATCTACAAATCGCCATCTTTTAACTTGCCTTGGTTTTATTGTAGGAACACTAACTGCACCATGGTATTGTGGCAGAAATGTGTGATATTTATATCGAATTTATCATATTAATTTAGACATGTATTAAAGGAGTAATGGAATGTAATTACAGTATATTTGTGATTAAGCTATAGCGTTTGTGCATTTATACTAAATGTATTTAGACTACTGTTTTTCATACAAATAGGCTACCTAGAAACCATATAGTTGCATTTTTACCACAGTATTGATGTGCTATATGTGTGGTTTTAACTCTGGTTGTCATGATGTAAATGTATGCTACTATGGAAGAACAATGGTTAATTTGAATAAAACTCGAACAGTCCGAAAATTTTTATTTCACCATATAAAAAAGGAGGTTGTTACAATTTTTACAGATGTTACTGATTTTGATAATTGAATTTATCATATTAATTTAGACGTATTAAAGGAGTAATGGAATGTAATTACAGTATATTTGTGATTAAGCTATAGCGTTTGTGCATTTATACTAAATGTATTTAGACTACTGTTTTTCATACAAATAGGCTGCCTAGAAACCATATAGCTGCATTTTTACCACAGTATTGAGGTGCTATATGTGTGGTTTTAACTCTGGTTGTCATGATGTAAATGTATGCTACTATGGAAGAACAATGGTTAATTTGAATAAAACTCGAACAGTCCGAAAAATTTAATTTCACCATATAAAAAAGGAGGTTGTTACAATTTTTACAGATGTTACTGATTTTGATAATGAACATAAATTTACATCTGCATCCCAACTCAAACTACTACTACTGTCAACTCAATGTCAAATGTGCATTTCTAAGAGACAAAACATTAATATTATTATTGCACACACACACACACACACACACACACACACACACACACACACACACACACACACAATATATATACTGTATATTTATATATATGGGGGGGGGCATGGTTGGTTGGAGCATGGAAAAAGGTTGGGAAAGAGATAGTGACTCCCTATTTTTTGTTTGTGTTGGTTTTGTGTTTAGTTGTTGATTTGCTATCTTTGGCATATTTGTTTTGTGTTTTATGCTTGTGCGGTTTCATTTTGCTTTTGTTTTGTGTGGTTTTGTTTTGTTATCTTTTGCATTTTGTTTTGTAATTTTTTTTGTTTTGACTGGAGCCCTAAAATGCAGTTTCTTGTGCGTTTGACCATGTGCCATAATCCAGGCATTTTCCTTCTTCATTTCAGAGCTGGACTTTGGTTTTCCTGGAACCTCGTTCTTCTCACAAGTCAGCAATGAGATTCATTCCAAACCTGTGAGTTAGATCGAGCTCACGGTTGATTTGTATTAGATTCACTATAAACATACACTATAAGGATCCAAATGCAGTCACTATTGACACAGATATTCAATATAATTGTCTAATGACCTGATCTTACATTATCCTCCTCTTTCTCCACAGGATACAAATGTAACCTTGGTCCCTGAAAATGATCTGACTCGTCATGTTTTCCTCTTGAGTGCCATTTTGAGAGTTATGGACCGCAAAGCAGACATCCTCACACATTCTGATCTTCTGTACCTCACAGAAACCATCGATAAGGCCACTCAACTCAATAAAATAGTAGTTTCCACTGATGTCTTCATATCTATGATCCGCAATTGCTTGGAACTAGTCAGCAGGCTCATCAACCCTGATATGGCCGAACAATGGGAGGTTTTGATAGCACATGGGGTTTGTTATGAGACTGAAATAGACTCTTCTGAAACCAAATCCTCTAAAAAAGACCACTCTTCTGTCAAGTTTATGAGTCAGTTTCCTGTATTTTCATAGAATTACCCTGGACCGTTGACAATGGTGGAGAACATTGACAAGCTGCTGTGTATGCTGGCGGATGCTCTCTGGATCGAGCGCAAAAGCTTCACAATGTCAACAAAGAACATGGGTACAGTGGTTTTTTGCTTCAGTTAGCATCATCTCTGACCTCTGAAAAATGGGAGTCAATATTTGCTTTCTTGAGAGGTAGAGTAATAAAGATAAACCTCATTGCATTCAAGCAGTTATTACTATTTAGCCATGGCAATTTTGGCCATGCATAAAACTGTACAAACAATGATGAGTTTTTGTTATTTTGAGAGTCACGAGATCAATTGCTTCCTTAGATATTCATCTGGAGCCGCGGAGGCTGACGCCAATGAGCTGTGGTTGTGTGTACAAGCCCTCGGTTCACGGCAGACAGTTCGGCAGCCATGATGAGATCCTCATACCAGAGTCAGAAATGCAGCGAGTCTTTTCTCTGGGTGAGACATAAAGGGCTTTTGGGTATTTTTTGTATTTCTACAGATAAATGCCACGATTTAATCAGAAGCTAATATTTTTTTGACAGGCCACAAGGAAGTGATGGTTATTCATACCTACTACAGTAACCTGTTAGAGATGTTGTCCAGACTGGAGGTGAAAACCCTTGCTGACCAACAAGCAGACAAGAGGTTAGCACGAGCATGCTGAATTTTCTACATCAATATTAATCTTCACATTTTGATTTATAGTTGATTGGCGTCATAATTCATTATATTAACACTGTTTTGTTCATGTATTTGCAGGCATCACACTGGTCAGCTGGCCACAGCAGTAATCTCAGCAACAGTTCGAGATGTTTCCAGGGCAGAAAATGTTCCTGTCTCTGTCCAGTACACCTTATCCTCTGGGATTACGGTAAAAAGACACTTAAAACCGTTTTAAGAAGTGAATATATTTGATTAACCTCTGATGCAGGGTTATTATTGTTAACAAACTAAAACCATTAAAAAAACAAAACATTTTTGTTACTGAGAATAAAATAAATGTTAACAGAAATAAAATAAAAAACGAACTTGTTTTATTTCTTATTTTCATTTAGTACTAAAATAACTAAAACTAAAAATTAAATATTAATTATTAACTATGTAGACAAGCTAATAAAAATTATTAAAACTTTAAAACAAAATTACTAAAACTTTCATTAAAATGAAAGTGAAAACAGAAAATCTAAAAATAAAACTAATAGTTTTAAATTATATAAAAATAATGATTTTCCTTTTTCTTCTTTAGGCAGAGTATTCCAAACAAGTCACTCCCGTCTGCGTCTTTTGGAATATCATGTAAGAGAACGTAATGCTGTTATAAAACTGCTAACAGGTGTCATGTCATATTACAGTCTCTGATGTAGTGTCTCGTGTCCAAAGGGCGGGTCATACAAGTGCTTGGTCCAAGAAAGGGTGCAGAGCACTGCCTTCTCCTCCTGATGTCACTTCCTGCTTCTGCAACCACACCACCTATTTTGCTGTCCTCATGAATTATATGGAGCACAGGGTATGTTTAGACTTTGTGCTTTCAACTGTAAGAAAAATCGAACAAAGAATCCGTTTACATTTTATATATGAAGAGTTCATTTGCAAAAACATAACTTTTTTTTTAACAATTTTCAAAAATCATGTTTTTTCATTGTGCATTCCAGTTAATCTCAATCAGACTGCAGTCGGGTTTTTTTGATTAGGTAAAAAAATAACTAACAAATACCGCTAACTAACACAATAAAAACACAATAACATAATAAAAAAATGGATTTTTGAAAAAAAAAAAAAAAACGGACTTATCTGTTTTTGCAGATAAACTTCTTATATTGTTTTTATTATACTATATTTATTTATATTACTTACATTTATGTTTATATACACACACACACAAACTAATATATAAATATGTTATAAAATATACAAATATAAATGTAGAATAATAAGATATATTACATAATATATATTATATTATAACAATACAATATTATTTATATACATTACTTATTTTATTTATGAATAAATAATTTATACTAATTAAAATATGGTATATAAAAAACATTTTAACTTATACACACACTAATAAATATGGGGTGTGTAT